CCCTTGCAGGGTGCCATAAACCTCCACATGGAAGAGGAGGTGGAGAATTTCCTGCTGAAGAAGCCGATCCAGCCGTCGGAGGACAAGCGCGTCATCGTGGTGTTCCACTGCGAGTTCTCCTCGGAGCGTGGCCCTCGCATGTGAGCTCCCCTCCCTGCCTGGGCTGTTCCTCAGCACTTGGAGGGGCTGGGCTGTCACCCTGGGCTGGGCTGTCACCCTGTGCTGGCTGTCACCCTGTGTGGGCTGTCACCCTGCACTGGCTGCGTTTGGCACAGCCTGGGCGTGAGGAGCCGTGCTGGGCCTGGGCTGGAGCACTGGAACATTCAGAGGTTTTTCCTTTCCCCTCTGAACTTTGGCTGTGGGGCTCCTCAGGCTCTCCCTGACATGCAGCTCCAGCTCCTCCATCGAGGGATGGGGGTTTGGATGCAGCTTTGGGAATTATTCGTTGAATGTGGGATTTAACACGGGATTTTCCCCACCGCAGGTGCCGGTTTGTGAGGGAACAGGACAGGCTGAGCAATGAGTACCCCAACCTGCACTACCCTGAGCTCTACGTGCTCAAGGGGGGCTACAAGGATTTCTTCTCGAGGTGCCAGGTGAGTAATGTGGATTCCTCATCCCTGGAAGTGTCCAAAGTCAGGTGGGAAGGGGCTTGCAGCAGCCTGGGACAGTGGAAGGTGTCCCTGCCATGGCAGGGTATGGAAGGAGATCTTCTAGGTTCCTCCAACTCAAGCCTTTCTATGGTCTCTTTCACACTCTGAAGAAATAGTAGATGAATAATATTAATTTCTTTTCTTCCTACTCACATTTCTCTTTGGGCAGAGTGGTTTGTCTGGGGGGCTTTTCCTCCTCGTTCTCTTTTCATTGGGCTGTTCCAGAGCAGCTCAGCCTGTTCTGTGTCTCAGAGCTGTCTTCCTGCCATATAGCTGAAGGGCTTCTCTACTTGTCTCAAGCAAAATGGAAGTGGTTTCTGCCCCTTCAGAACAAACTGTCACTCAGAGAAAGGATTTCAGCCTGCTCAGAGCAGGGGAGAAGACAAGGCTTGACAGTAATTGCTGGATAAATGGAAACCTGAGGTCTTGTACAGTCCTAAACCAGCAAAATTGAAAACCTGAGCTTGGAGTTTGCAGCCTCTAATTAAGACAAGGAAATTAAAACCCACCTCCCAGCTCTTCCCAGCACTTCAGGGGTGAGATTGCTTCTGTCCTTGGCTCCTGCAGCATTTCCATGGTCCCAGTGCTCCTGGGATCTGTCCTGCTGCTCTGACACAAGCAGGCCTCAGCTCCTCAGGCCCCCACACTTCCAGTCATCCCCTGGGAGGTGGGAGGTACCTGGCCTGGCCATGGCCGGCTGGATGGGGCTGTCAGCTCCTTCCTTCCCTGTGGGATGCTGGCTCTCCCAGCCCTGGCAGCCGGTGCTGCTGGGTTTTGGCTCCCCTGGGCTGAGGGCCACCCGTGCTTTGGGGTGTCCCCGTGGATTTTGGGTTGTCCCGAGGAGGGGGCACCGAAGCCTCAAGGTGGCAGCACGGGACAGCCGAGGGCAGCTCCACGGGGATCATGGCATGCTCTGGCCTGGAGGGGACCCGCAGTGATCCGTGTTCCCTCCGTGCATGGAATCCACGACCTTGCCGTGATCAGCAGCCCTGCTCTGTCCAGCTGGGCTGGAACATCCTTCCAGTCCGTGCCACTGCAAGGTGAACTCTCAACCAGCTCAGCCTGTGCGTTGCCTGCCAGGAAATTTGGGATGAGAGCCCTGAACACAAAGCCCTTGTTTTGTTGGCTGTAACCTGAATCTCCCCGAGCTCTGTGTGTCTGCCACAGCGCTCCTGCCTGGAAGGGGGGTCTGTCCCCGTTTGCTCCAGTGACTGCTGGTGCTGGGATCACCACGCTGGTGACACTGAGGTGACCCCAGCTCCTGTTTCCCCAGAGCTTCTGCGAGCCCCAGAGCTACCGCCCGATGCACCACAAGGACTTCAAGGAGGACCTGAAGCGGTTCCGCACCAAGAGCCGGACCTGGGCCGGGGAGAAGAGCAAGAGGGAGATGTACAGTCGGCTCAAGAAGCTCTGAGGGCTGCAGGGACCTGCAAGGACTGCCCAGCCCGGGGGCTGCAGTGGCACAGCCCCGTGTTCCTGTGCTCCCACTCCCCTGGGTCTCCTCCCTGGGATCACCTGGACCTCGGCCCCACGAGCCGGACGCCGGCTGGGAGCCGCCTTGGGATTCTCTTGGTTACGTTGCTTCGTGAAAATGTTGTGGCTTCTTGTGTTGTGTGACACCCCCAGACCGCCCAGGGAGGCTGGGGACAGCCTTGTGGGGCTGGGCTCGGTGTCAGCACTGCCAGGGAATTGTAGTGCCTGTTAATTTTTAAATGCTTCTTTTATTTAAATACAGTCAAATGAAGCCAATACCGCTGCGGTTGGATCATCTGGGTTGTACTTAAACCTTGTTTCTGCTCCAGGGTGACCTGCTGGGGGGGATTGAGGGGGTCATTATTTTTATCAGCTGCAGTTTTGGTTCTGTGCAGCATTGTGGGAAGGAAAATGGGAAATATCCCGTGATGGCTCAGGATTCCCACCTGGGCGAGCTGCAGGAAGCCTTGGGAGCCCAGCAAAGGGAAACTGCTTGTTGTTCATAAACATCACGTTCACCTCGTTCACTTCCTGCAGGGTGTTTCATTTCATGGTGTGTTTGTGTTGGTTCTGGAGGAGTTGGTGTTTCTGTGGAGGGAGAGGTTTTGGGAGCTGCGGGGGTTCAGCGCTTGGGTGATCCCAGGATTCTCAGTGGTGTCACAGCTGCCTCTGAGCCTGGGAGTTGTTCTTTATCCTGAAATGGTGCCAGAGTGGATCCTGGCTGTGAGGGATCCCAGCAGCTGCTCTGACACCACTTCTGGGGGTGGCTGTGGTGCCTTCTCCATCTGCCAGGAAAGGCAGGAGGTGGGATTAATCCATGGGGGAAGCAGAACTTCTCAGCTGTGTTGGACTCCCCAGCTGAGAAAGTTCTGCAGTTCCAAACTGCTTTGCTGCTGGTTTTGGGGTCACTTCAGCCCCAACTCTTAGATCCATCTTCCTCACACCAACTTCCAGGTGAAAACTGGTGCTCCTGGGAAGCTCCGCGTGCCTGGGAACTTCCTGGTTCATTCTGTTGTATCCATGTCAAAAAATACTGAAATGGAGATACCTTATGTGGAATTTTAACTTGCTCATTTTTGAAACCCATTTCTTAAAACCTGCTGTTAATCCTTTTGCTCCCAAGAGGATTAAACTTGGAATTATCTTGTTTAAAAAAAAAAAAAAAAAATCGTAATTTGCTGTTTTCCCTCAAAGCTGAATCCCTTGAATAAGGAGATGATGAAATGTGAAATCGGAAGTGATGGTTACAATTTTCTCCCATTGCCTTGGGAAGGGGATGTGGGGTGCTGGAGACTCAGGAAAGGTGATGGGCAGTGCCCCAGTGCCCCAAACTGTCCTTTGGCCCAGCCCAGGGGGGGTGAAGCACCAGCTCAGCACCACAAGGGCTGGGCAGGATCTCTCAGTCCCGCTCTGCCAGCCAGCAGCTGCTCCATGGGAATGTTCTGACTCCTCCTCCGTGTCCAGAAGAAGCAGATGGACACTGGCCTGGGCCAGGACGCTCCTTGCCGAGGTCACTCAGCTGGAGCACAACCATGGCAGCATCCCTGCTCTGCAGCTGCACTTCCCAAATCTCTCCTCCCTCAGTGCCTGGTGCTCGGGGTGTGGGGTGAGTGCTGGGGAGGAGCCCAGTGCAGGGACTGGGAATGGCTGAAACCCCAGAGGGCTGCAAAGGAGACCCCCCTGTCCGTGTCCCAGCCCACTCCCCTCTGTGTGCTGGGAGTCCTGGGGAGGGAGAGGCATCTAAACAGGATCCAAACTCTCAAAACTAAGAGATTGCTGTGGGCACAGGGTAAAAATCCCAGCCCCCAAGCTGCTGCCTGCACCTCTCCTTGCAGCAGGACGCAGGTGAGCTGCTTGCTCACGCTGGCAGAACCCCAGGCTGGTGGTGGGTGCTGTTTGTGGCTTTGCTCCTTGCTTCCAGGATAAATGCCAGAGCAGCTGTGGCTGCCCCTGGATTATCCCTGGCAGTGCCCAGGGCCAGGCTGGAGCAGCCTGGGGCAGTGGGAGGTGTCCCTGCCATGGCAGGTGGGCACTGGGTCCCTTGGACCCAAACCCAGGGTGGCTTTGAGGTCCTTTGGACCATTCTGAGTTCCACGGTTCTGGCTGCAGCCCCCCGAGTGTCAGAGCTGTGTGCTCCCCTCCCTCCATCCATGCTGTGGCCAGTCACAGCTGGCAGATTTTGGCTGAGGCTCCTGCTCTGTGCCGGGCTTTTCCCAGGGGGCTGTTGTGACGAGCAGGAGGCCAACAAGGGGGTCGGATTTAAAAGCTTCCCTGGAAATCCAGCACGGTGCCTCCAAAGCCTCGGGAGGCTCCAGCAGAGAACGGGGTGGGGTTTCTTTCCCCCTTCCCTCCATCTGGCACCCTGAACAGTGATGTTGAAAGCAGCTTCAACCTTCATCAGCCTCGGCCCCCAGCTCCTGAACGCCGCAGAGCTCGGTGTTTCCTCCCAGACCAGGTCACCTTTGTGGCCTAAAGGACTTTCCTGCTCTGTCTTTGGGGCTGATAAAGGCACCAGCAAAGGGCCAGCTGCCCTGCTGTGCCAACAGCTCCTGGAGCCCTTGGATCCCCTTGGGAATTGGCAGTGAGTGCTGGACATCCCTCCAGTGCTGCTTCAGCGGCCTTCAAGCTCCCTTAAGAGGCAAAAGGAGATTTTAGCCATAACCAGACAATTCTCTGGTTTTAAATCTTTTGCATCTTTTCAAAAAAACCTCCTGTCTTTGCCCTTCTGCCTCTGTTTTCTTTGTGCAGCAGCTCTTCCCAGGCCTCTTGGAGCC